CCCCCCCCCCCCCCCCCCCGTCAAAGCGGGGCTTCAGTGTGGGCGGCACGCTGCGGCGGCCTCTTTGTTTATTTAACATGCAGATACGATGGGGATTAGTCGGGCAGCGGGAGCGGCGTTGATTCTCTTGCGCCGTCAACACCCCCGCTAATCTGGGCCTTCTTGTCACGTTGCAAGTTTTGGGCGGGGATGGGGTATGAGGTACTAGAGGGAGAGAGGGGGGAAGATCGGGAAAATGTACTATTTGCAGAGGCATTAATAGAGTAGTAATGGTAAGTATGCAGCGAGTTGTTTATGGACAAGGCACATTTTGGCAGCGGTCAGTCCAGTGCCCCTCGGGATTCACCCCCTCCTGGGACAGCTTTTTTTGTCCCCAAGAAATCGGTTGAAGTCCTCACCACGGTGCAAAGCAGAGAGCAGTTTTCTGTGTTGGATGCAGTGCGGGTCGTGGGAAAGGTCTGTGTTTTTCATTTCGAGCCTTGCGCGGCTCTCCGTTTAGTGCGGTGTGAACATGCTAAGCTCCTCATCTGTCCACATGGGGCCGGTGGTTTTGCTTGCGCAACAAACAGCAGTTTCGCTTGAAGGATGGATTCGCTGCATTTTCGGTGCCCTTTGGAGACTTACAAGCTCCGCAACAACGTGATGCGGTGACGGTGTTCTTGTTTTGGGGGGTTGCGATACGAGTGTGCACCCTGAAAGCAGTACTAAATAGCAAGGCTGGCTGGCTGGCTGTGTCGGTGACTTTGCGTGGCGATTCTTGGCACATTCGCTGTAGGCAGAGAACCTTGGTACCGCTGGCAGTGTGCGCTTAAAATGGTGGGATTGAACACGAAACTGCAGGGTACATTTGTACACCCTGGTGTTTGGTTCATCATCGCCGCCTTGAGTTCCAACGGTAATTTATGACGGGTATGGCGGTTTGGTGGAGCGTACCGCCTACCGTGGCCCTTTGCCGCTTGAATGCCTGACAGGCAACAGTGTTTTCTAGGGCATTGGCAAAATGACGGCTTACGAACAGTATGGGGCACACTAAATTTCTGTTAGGGCCGCAGCAGCACCGGACGCTGGGTGGACACGTCTAAATCGTCTTCCAGCTCCCGGGCCTCACGCGCCAAGTCCTTGGGTAGCACGCCTTTCCTTGCTTTTGTTATTTCCCGCGTCGAGACCAACAAGGCGCAACGCCTACTTCGAAATGGCGTGGGGAGCACCACGTAGTTTCACGCATGTGGTACACAGATGGTGTTCGGACCCTCTAGCTTCTTTTGCCCCTCGATCCCCAGAGGAAAAGTAGTGTGGTCGACATGGGCACAGATTGTCGACGCCCTTCGCTCGGTGCGATGGCCGACCGACGTCTTTCGAGAGATCCCCCCACCCAACAAAACCAACCTCCTGTTCTCTTGCGGAAATGCAGCCTCGCACACCACGCCAGCTGAGCAACGGTTTTATCTCCTTCAAAAGAGTAGCCCGGGCCTTCATTTGGTGGTGAGGTTACGTATGACACAATTTCGCTGGACCGCAAGGTTTTTCCTCAGCTCTCTGCATGTATGTATGCATACGACTCTAGACTTTTCGCTGTCATTTACCCCCGCCCAGTGTGTACCACCGGCGCCTCATGACCTTCACGGAGCAGGTCTAACAGCACTGCTCGGCGCATACATCGTGTGGGGAAGGAGAGTGCAATACGGCAGCAGCAGCAGGGGAGCCGCTTGGTCATGTGCGAGAGGGGTGAAGGCGATTGCGCATTTTTCATCGATCTGTTGCTGCACATGATTTGTCGGACCCGTACGCATACGACGACACCAGGACACACACAATGCCGGCCGTTTTGCGGCCGTAGACATGAAAACAAGCAATAAACCAGTGCCGTAGACGGACTGACGGCCGGGCGACGTGGCTCCGCGGAGGTCTCGTCACACACACAAACGTGGTCTTGTTCTGAAGCCAGCTGCGACCATCCAAGAGCATAAAACGTACCCCGCCAAGAGATCAAATGTACCGGCGCCTCAGTCGACGAAACTTCCGAGCAATTCTAGAGCGCTGTTGATTGGTGGGAGTAATTTACACGTTCGGCGGCGAGAAAAACACACAATCTTGGTTCAACCCCGAAGGCGAACTTCGCTTGTCTCAACAGCAGCAGCAGCAGAAGCAGCAGCAGCAGCGGGATGTTTTTTCCGTTCATGCAGCTGGGGGGGATCGCCACGCCTGCTCCCCGTCCTTGAGCGCTTTCTGCACGATCTCCCGCTGCTCGGTGGCCTTCTGGGCGTTCACCTTCCTACCAATAGCCTGCCAGACAGAACGAAAACAAACAAGACGGTGTGAGGCACGCGCAAACTCCGGAGCCCAAAATAACAGCAGCAACCACAGGAACGGAAGAAGAGAGAGAGGGGGGGGAGAGGGCGAGGAGGGGAGGGGGGTGTACCTCCCGTACGGGTTTCCGCAAGCAACACACGGAGATACGGTTTTTCCGCCAGCAATACACGGTAATGTTGATGGTGATGGAGCCCACGCCGCAGCCGCTGCTTGTACATGCAGGAAAGGAAAACGTCCAACACTCGCGGAGGGGTCGTGGCGAGGCACAGACCAGGCACACAACCGTTACCGCTGCACCTCTTCCACGTCTCCGCGGGCACAAAACAAACCCGGTCACGTGCCAAACTCATTCATTCATGACTGGTGGTTATTTCTCCACACAAGACATTTGGTGCACAAAACGCAAGTAACGCCGAGTTTATGGAGGCAGCTTTCAATATCTGTGTTTCGGCTCTCTTCGTGTCCGCAAAAATATTTCCTTCTCGAGGGCGAATCACAGAGACGCGCCCTGGTACTCCGTATGTGTAGCAAGATCGGTTTGTGTGCCTGAGGGGAAAAGGAAGACGATGAGGGGAGGGGGGCAGGGGGGCACGCGACAAGAGGCCATCAATATTGCTTGCCTTGAGAATCTCTTCCACGAGGAGGATGGGCAGGGAGAAGCGCAACACCCAAGTCCAGTCGTCCCACGACAGCGGCGTAACGCCGAACGTTTCGCCTGAAAAAGGAAACGAAAAGATGCAACACCGGCAGCGGAGAGTTGGGGTTGGGTTGGAGTTGGGTTGGGTAATATATAAACAAAAAGACATGTATTAACTAACCACAGCGTTGCATGCATGAACCAAGGCAAGATGCAGGAAAGAAACTCACGGCCGAAATCGCGCCTGCGTGTTGGTGGCGCATGGGAAACATGAACATACACATACAGCAAAGGTGGGTCCACGTAGGCGCATCACAGGCAACCTCACTCCCATGCACATATCTCACGCAAAGAGCTGTTTCAAAACATAAAATCTAAATCAAGAGAGGAACAATAGACATTCCATCTACTGGGTCACAGCATGGAAACATGGCACAGATTTGTACACACCAAACGCAATCGACGAGGGAGCGAACGAGAATACGGTCCCCGAGGGAGCGCGGACGAATGCACCCGACACCCAACACGGAACAGAATAAACGGAGCTAACGAAACCGAACAGACTAAACAGACAGACCACACGGACTCAAACACGCTTGGCCGCACGACGGCACAAAGCGGTGGGCTGACTCTTCTCACCGACACCCGGGAGGTAGAGCACCGCCAGGTGCAGCAAGGACGGGAAGGCCACCCCCGCCAGCAGCCACTTGTTGCGCCACGGAGGCACCCGCAGCATGGAATTGTCCACCGACACGGCACTGCATCGCCCCCAGCGATCAGGACGGAGCCGAGAACGACAGCGAGAACGGAAAAAAACAATTTCACACACACATCAGCAGAAGAAGTGTTTAGCCGCGCTACAGTAAGACTGGCGTGGTGGCAAGTATTTTGATGCACGAAACACGGGGTTGGTTGTCGGCAAGCAGGCGACAGACAGCAAGCGAAATCCCACGTGAGCAGAGCCAGCTACAAGCTCGTGAGGTTGCCGGATGGGCTGAACCCACTGTTCGACGGCAGCACGCCCCTCGCCGCTCGAAATGAGTGCCATACGGGCGGGTTGGGTTGTTGTCCCATGGCGAGTACGCCTCAAGGTAGCAAGAGGTCGACATACTTTTCCAAGGCAGACGCTACAACGTCTCTCCGCACTTGTAAATAGCAGCATCGAGGGACGTTCTGAGACTACATGCATGCGCCTAACTCCGATTTTTGGCGACAGTCAGTCAGTCAGACAGGCATCATACCTGAAATGCCGTGAGAAGCAAGTCCTTGGTGCAACATGAAAAAACATTCACAGACTACGTGCTATGAACGCCGATTCTTGGCGTCAGGCAGGCAGGCATCACTTCCTGTGTGCCTTGAGCAAGTCCTTGGAGCAACATAAAAAAAAAAGATTATCAGACTACGTGCTATAAACGCCGACTTCTTGGCGTCAGGTAGGCAAGCAGGCATCATTTCCTGAGTGCCGTGAGCAAGTTCTTGGAGCAACATAAAAAAAAAAAATCCCAGACTACGTGCCACAAAGGCCTGGCGTCAGTCAGTCAGCCAGCCCGTCAGGCTGGCAGGCAGGCAGGCAGGAGTCATAACCTGAGCGCCTTGAGCATCTCCATGGTGACCAGGGTGGAGAGAGAGAGGGACTGCGGGATGGCCTTGGCTACGGTGAATATCTCGCAAGGCTTGCTCGCGAGGTACTCCAGACCGGCTGTCGCGGGAAGCTCCATCCCTTCTCCCTGCACAAGAAGAAGAAGAAGAAGAACAACAACAACAACAACAACAACAACAACAAGGGAAGGCCTGCCGTCACGTCTTTTTCCAAAACGGTACTTTAGGTTGTTGCGCATGCCGGGGGTGGGGGGGGCTAGAAGGAGGCTGCTGTACAAAACAATGCGGAGGGAGGAGTGGAGGGAGCCTGTGCACCACTACCACAGCAATACCGAAACTTCCAAAAGAGACAGAGAGAAGGAAGGGCCGTTGCCGACCAAACCAACTCCACACCCAACACACGCCGGCTATCTCAATCCCAGACACGATCTGCTTCCACTGTCGTAATAAAAGACAAATTCCAAAGCAAACACACGCCGTGCTATCTCCATGCCAGGCGCGATGTGCTTCCACAACTAGAGATGCCGTTGTCTACTCACCATGCACGTGCTCCAGTTGAGCAGCTGAGACCACGTGACCCCATGATCCAGGTACCAGTGAACCGAGACGCCCAGGGTGGCGAAGCCCACGTAGAGTCCCGTCAGCAGGTACCGCGTCAGGAGCCACTTGGACATGATGGGTTCGTCCTTGACACAGCAAAAAAAAAAACAGAAACGGAGAGAAAAGAGGCATTTTTCGTTAGACTACAAAAAATATGAAAGAATTAAAAAAAATAATGGAAAGGAGAGATAACCAGAAACGGAGAGGGGGACATTTTTCGTTACTTAAACAGTAGAATACTGTAGTACGCAGATCCCACGGTGAAAATGAGCGTGGAGAGGGCACGGAGGAAGAGGAGGCAACACAAACATCGTAAGTGTCAGCATGGGCGGCGGAACCAACTAGTGCGATCCAACGGCATCACCCCGGAACACATCATCGCCCCCAACCCCCCCCCTCTTCCCTAAGACACTCGAGAAGAAAACCGCAGCCTCTACTGTTCATTACGCAGGACGGAGCATACAGTATGCTGGAATCGAACGGTCGAATCGACATACCGCAATAAGCAACAAAACAAATACCCTTCGATTGCGTGGCTAAGTCTCGAACGGGTATTGTACAAACATTTTCCTACTTGTACTACGTACTGTGTGTAGAATATTAATATTTCCCAAACACACAAGCATTACAAGTACAAGGGGTCCCTCTGGAGTGGGCTCATGAAAGCACGGTGGCATCAAGGGGGTGATGATGCAAGATAAAAACTACTACAAAAAGCATTACAAGCAGAAACCAGCCCACAGCTGGCTTCCAGCTGCCAGTTGTGCCGTGTCCCAAGCTCAACACCTCACGCAGCTGACGTGTCCAATTTTCACCCAATTTCCCAAGCTCAACAGCTCATACAGCTGACGTTTTTTTTTTCTCTCAAAGAGCCCAGCGAACCTCAACGAACGAAAAAAAAAAAAATCTACACAGACTTAATTACCTTGGGGCGCGGTGGCTTGCTCATGGCATCCGGGTCCGGTGGGTTGAATCCGAGCGCCGTCGCGGGCGGGCCGTCGGTGACAAGGTTGACCCACAGGAGGTGTAGGGGGGTCAGGGGCTCCGGGAGGCCGAGGAGGGTGGCGAAGAAGATGGTGGCGATCTCGCCGATGTTGCACGAGATCAGGAAGCATATGAATGCCTGCGTATTTTTTTTCGTTGTTGCATGGTTGTTTGCAGAGGATAGGGCGCGCGCGCGCGCGGAGCAAAAAAGGGGGGCAACAGACAGTACAAGGTTCGGCAACGAGGGATGGCAAGGGGGGCGTGTGTTGTTGTTGTTGTTGTTGTTGTCTTAACATTAAAAACCGTTCCGTTCTCTCTATCCAGTACCTTCTTCTGTCCGTAATAGTCTCACACTTGAAGCGGTCGATTTCCGTGGTTACCGGCTAACTTACCTAAAAAAGGCATACAAAAATAAAATGAACCCCAAGGGTCCGCAAGTCAATAGAAAGCAACGACAGATAGTCTAGGACACTCCGCGTGTGCATGTATAAAAAAAAACGCGGCCGGCATGCGGCATATTGTAAATGCGTGCTTCCCACGGTTACACGTAACCACAGACAACTTGTAACCGCCGATCGCGCAACTCCCTTTCGGGGTGGTGGTGTGCCTCATGGAAGTACGGTTCAGGGGGGAGGGGTGTGACACAAAAAAAATGAACACATGGCTGGGGGGTAGACGGCAGCTATTGACAGAGGAGGGGCAGTGCGGTGGTTCAAGCGACAAGGGCCCATAGATGGTTCAACTCGTGCGACAAGTACGCACACACAGCACTCCCGCAAGGGGGTACGCAGATGAGACCGTCCGTTGCCAAGAGGGTGACGCAAAAATTCAAAGGCAAACACAACCCCCCAACACCTTTATATTACAAACATGAGCATATACACTAAACCCAACCTGTACCCTACAGCAGTACAGTCTTCCGTCGGTATGTAACCTATACCTAACCTGTACCCTACAGCAGTACAGACGCAGACACCTGCATGTTGTTGTAGATCGCTCTCCCTTCCTCGACGGCGCTGACGATCGTGGCGAAATTGTCGTCCGCGAGGACCATGTCCGCAGCGTCCTGCTCGGGGGACGACGACGACGACGACAACGTAGGCGAAAAAAATTACGAGATGGAGTCGCTAAACTATTAATAGGTGTGTTACGAATTTTAGGGAGCGGAGAGATCCTCCGCCGTCATGAAAATAAAAAATAAAAAACATTCTCGTGTGTGCACGTCTACAAAAAAAAAAAAACATGACCTGAAAAAAAAAACCGCCCACCTTGGAAACCTCGGTGCCGGCGATGCCCATCGCGATCCCGATGGCAGCCTGCTGAAGAGCAGGGGCGTCGTTGACACCGTCCCCTGTCATGGCCGGCACCTGGACAAACACCCAACACGAGTGTCACAATATGTGCACACGACACACGTACGTCGAGCAGCAGCAGCAGCAGCAGCAGCAGCAGCAGGGTAAGGTTCAAACGCTGTCCTTCCTTGTACAACAAAAAAGGCTGAGAGGGCTACGCAGTTTTTGGCAGCGTTACGGCAAGAGGCTGCCGTCCCCCACCAGGCTTCCAACCACGTGCCGGCGGTTTCGTTGTCAATGATCATGGAATCGCACGTCCTCCTGTAGAAACACACTGCCCCGTCCACCCCACCCTGACAACCTGATGCGGCACGTAAAAAAACAGAAACACCACATATCCCCGAACGAGCCATAACGTACCACAAAACGGAAGGACAGAGCCAATTTCAGATCCGAAGGCACGCGCGCTTTGTAGCGGGGCCGAACGACACAAGATTGACACACGGTAGCCCCGCCAGGCAACCACCATACCCAGACGCCGACTGCGGCACCCACTCGACCCTACCGTCAAGCAGGACACAAGGTTGGTGCCTGGGTAACGGCAACCACCAGAAAATATCCCGGAAAATTCCTCGGAAAATTCCGTAGCCTCTAGAGACGGGTCTACGATTTCTCAGAAAGTTCCAGGGAAAATTCCGAAGAAATTTCCGTAGGCTCTCGAGAAACGCATGGACTACAATACGATACACACCTCTCCCATGTCCTGGAGCATCTTGACGAGGCGCTGCTTGTCCTTAGGCTCGGTGCGGCAGAACAGCATGTTTCCGGTGGCCAGGAGGCCCTTCTGCTTCTCCTCCGGCAGGCGGAAGAACTCGGCCCCGACCCACGCCCGCTCGGACACATCCTTTGCGTACGTATTGGATGTATATACAGCATGAAAGCAACAAGGACACGCACCGGTTTCGTGTCATATATAGCATGAAAACAACAGGACATGTCCTTTTCGTATGCACAGCATGAAGACAGCAACGATACATCATTTTTCGTGTGCATATCACAAAAAACAAAAACGGATAAAAAAAGTCGGGAAAAAATATTCAAACAGGGTAAACGAGAGAAAAAGTAAGACAATGTTCAAATAATGGAGAAACAGAGCAACAAAAGGCAACACACATGTTTCCCGTTGACTTGAACACATCAAGAGAACAAAACCCTCAAGGTAAGTGTATTTCTGTGTACACTTCTGGGGTGTTCCAAGTTACAAACGTGGTCTATATGAGACGGATGTCTCCAGGAGGTTAACGTGTGGACAAGTTCCCCGTTGGGCCGTGTGGTGTGGATACACACCGGTTCAACCTCTTGTGGAGAGGCTCAAGAGTACGGAGAGTTGTGTTGTGAGTCAGGGGGAAGCGAGCCTGCCGCAGCAGGTTCAGCGTCCAGCATACACTGACTCTATCTGTGGCAACACCCCGAAGGTAGATAGATCTCCGACAGGTCGTCTAACGCAACAATCTACGACAGTCTGAGGTGGCATTCACATCTATTCAACTAAATATTACATTGCCTCCACCTGCTCCTGGACCGCTGGAAGAACGACCAGCAAAAAAAAAAGAAAATCCTCACGCGAACAAGGCACACACAACAACAACAACGCTCAAGTATCTACGGACACCAGTCCTTTCGTAGATTCGTCCTCTTCTTTTCTAAGTCTGTTCGGGATCGTGCACTCGTTCACCTCGTCGGGACCGAATATGTTGACGTCCCTCGCGATGGCCGCGGCCGTGTCCTTCGAGTCTCCCGTGATCACCATCACCCGCACCCCGGCCTCCTGGCACATCACCATCGCGTCCGCCACCTCCGGTCTCGCAGGGTCCTACAAGTAAAAAGGGGGGTGGGGGGGGGGGAGGGGCAAAAAAACATCATGATGATTGAAGAGGGTGGGTCGCGTTAAGCTCATCGGGTTGTTCTCAATCTTGTGGCATGATTCTGCGGCTTCGACGAAAGGGGGGTCACACCGGGCACCCCCCGGCACCATTCAGAGCACGAACACGAGACGGCTTGAACACTCCGTCGGTGTCACGAGATTTCACCATATACGGCCGAACACAGGGCGACCGGCCTTGTGTACGCTTCCTTACATACAGGGACCATTTCCCGCAGCAACAAACAGATCGCGATTAACCAAGCACGAAAAATGACGCGGGCACACAAAAGCCGCACGCCAAAGCAACGCACATGCATCCGACACATGGAACAACGATACGACGACCACAATCAAAGATATGCCTCCCTCCCTCGCCTTGATGCCGCAGATGCCGACGAAGGTGAGGTCGCTCTCGACCTCCTCGAACTTGTCGGCGTTCCTGAGGGAAGGGTTGCGTTGGGGGTCGTCCCCCTTGCGGAACTTGTTCAGGATTCCCAGAGTGTCCCCTTCCTGACAGAGAGAGACAGAGAGAGACAGAGAGAGACAGAGAGACAGAGAGAGAGACAGCGTGAGAAAGCAAGAGGAGACATGGAGGGAGTAGGGGCGAGATAGACGGAGTGGGGGCTTAAATGGGGGGGGAGAGCATATGAGAGTGCGGAAAATGAAACATCTAGGCAGCGCCCCGTTGTTCCTCCCCCCCCCGCCCCCCCACGTCAAACATATGGGTTCGAGCCATCGCTCTTGCCGGGGATATATACCTCGAAACGTTCGCAGTCTCCCCTGCGTACCCTCGTGGCCGGCACCGCAGGAAAAACGGTTAATGCTGACACAACACACAGCACATCTACTTGGGGGCTATGTCCGGCAATGTCGCGTGCCGCTCACTACTCACGGGGATTGATTTTGTGTCGATCAGCCACTGCGAGGAACAGCAGCGGCAAAAGCAAAAGCAGACGGAGACTCTGACTTACCCACAACGACAACGGCAGCAGCAGCCGCAAAAGCAGCAGCAGCAGCAGCAGCAGCGAATACAACAACAACAACAACCACAGCAACAACAACAACAACAACAACAACAACAACAACAACCAACAACAACAACCACAGCAACAACAACAACAACAACAACAACAACAACAACAACAACAACAACAACAACAACAACAACAACAACAACAACAACAACAACCAACAACAACAACAACAAACCAACAACAACAACAACAACAACAACAACAACCAACAACAACAACAACAACAACAACAACAACAACAACAACAACAACAACAACAACAACAACAATAGCCAACAGCAGCAACAACAACAACAACCAACAACAACAACAACAACAACAGGTCAGTCACCTTCGTGGCGAGAGCCAAACACCGGAGAGGCCTGACGGCCATGGCGGCGTACTTGTCGATGATCTCCTTCCGGAACTGTGACGTCATGGGCACCGACTTCCCGTCCGGCAACATCACCTGTTCCAAGAAGGTCGTTCGAAGGTTCGTTGTGCCATCAACTTCTCTTCTCGGTTGTGAAAAAAAAAAAAAAACACTCGGGAAGAGCGCTTGGCGGGCCTTGAAAGCGCGAAACAGAACGAATGGAAGCTTGAATTCATCGCTCACATCCCACTGGAGCAAGCACTTCCACACCGCACACGAAAACAATTGCACCGCATTTGAAAGAGACCGTCCAAAACTTAGACCTGTACTTCGTACAATAGGCGATTCTTTTCGCGAATTTTTTCGCGATTTGATTTACACAACTTTCTTCTACTCCATTTTCAGTGTATAATAACCAAATTCGACAAAAACAAGAGGCAATCGCCTACGGAGCACAGGCCTGCCAAAATTCGACACCCAACAGGTCGTGTGTACCGCCGCGTCTCCTACGT